TTAGACACCTCAGGATGCCGGCTTTCTAACGAACTTCTTTCTGACCGCCAAGACAAAGCATGTATCATAAAAATTGACTTCTTATGTAGCATACCTTTTTGTCATTAATTTCGACTGCCTTTATAGATTCAAATATATTTTTTGAAAAACATGCACGAAATAATTATTTCTTGTTTTCTTTTGGTAGAAAATTACGCCTTCTTTAAATGTTATTCTTAAAGGAAGGGTATCTTTCGGTTTTAAAAAATTTCTTATTTGAGCTTTTTTACAATTTTCAGGGGTGTTCATTCAAGAACACGTATCGGTCAATTTGTTAATGCTGCCTTTACTGTATAAAGCATGCTCCACATCTATTGCAACAGTTCACGGTAACTATGTGAGATCTTCGTCAAGCTGTAGGCGAAAACGTACTTTTCCTTAAACAGGATGTACGCAGTGCGCAGTTTGTAAACCTTGGCGGTCAGAAAGAAGTTCGTTAGAAAGCCGGCATCCTGAGGTGTCTAAAATATGTTGAAGATTAGGCTGTATGATCATCTCTTTTACAACCATCCGCAATTAATATGTTCCAATCGAAAACTTATTTCAGAATTCCTGCAGCTATTGCATGAGCTAGTGAATCTACTGTAGTTCTCTGCTGTTCATAGTTCCGGCTGGTTGCTCCTCGAGTGGTCTAAAAAGAGAAGGCAGATTCCCGGCTGCTTAGAATAGCGAACTCACTCTAGGACCACGGACAGTTCGGCGGGAGGGAAGGGGATGGAGACGGGGTTGTTGTTTTGTGTGTTTCTAAGGCGTATTTTCTGATCTGTGAGCTGTGGCTGTCTGCAGAAGACGTAATACCCAGCAATGGTTTAGGGCATTTTAGCCCCTTCCATCGCGTGGGGCAAGCAGTGCTGTCCATAAATCTTACTGCTCGGACATCCCAGACAGCTGCCGAACTTCACTATGGGTGGCAAATTGGTTTTTAACAGGAGAGCGACCAGAGTTAGTCTGGACCTCCTAATGATTGAATGTCACTCTCCCCGTAGGATGATATTTAAGGGCCAACACGGGAGCATTTACCACCTGCACAAGACAAATGTAGCGATCCAATGCAGCACTCCTGCGTCCTGTAACGGCACATGGCAGTTCCACCGTCGATTCGAACCAAGTACACCATGTGCTCCACAGGATGGTAGTGCAGAGACGGTGACTTGTGCGTGGATTAGTTTTATAGTAATAGAAGACATGCGCCGCATCGACCACACTCTCTCCTCCTTCACCCACATGTATC